TCTATTGGCTCGATCGTTCCCAGAAATGTTAGCCCTGAGCCAAACATCGGACTTTTAATGAGACGAACCAACTTACTGACTTAAGTTCACGAAAAGTTCGACGCCTGGCTCAGTTAAGGTCGTCTGAATGAGTCTGGATCGTCCAACACGTTCTATCCGTCTGCTTCAGACGGATTGAACGTCTGAAGATCGTCTCCGAGACAAACGGCGATCTTCATAAACGACGAACTAAACCAATAAATCAAAAACTTGTATGATAATGAATATTTAGCCCCGTTCGGGAGAACACTTATTACTGGTCTGATTTAGTTGATTGGTTGGACGTGTCCTAAGTTCGACGTTTGACTTAACACACGATGTTAACTTTAATTTAGGTTGACTTGATTTAGAGTTTGGTTCGTGTCATGAAAAGTTCGAGTTTTGGCCTAGGCCGTTAAGAGATTGAAACGACTTATGCGATACCAATGTCTATTTTAAATAGATGTAGGTCTCTGAGACAAACTCGTATAACAACTTTCTAGAACACACCACTGGATTTATTTAAGGAATTTATCATAAGTTTTCTTCCTGAGCTGGTAGGAACTTGATTAATTTTCGTCGTCAGTTCATTTTTACGAGTTTAAAATTATATATTTCTTTACTTTTAAAAGCTGGGGAATTAACAAGTGTTTAATTAAATGAAATTAAAACAAAAGACAAAACGTCAGAAAAAAAAAACCTTGTACAGTATTAAAATTATACTTTGTCAAGCTTTAGTTATCTATAACAGTTACGGTATACGTTTATGGTGATCAAGTAAGCTACATTCGGTTCATTATAAGAAAATAATTTATTTATAACTTTCAAACAATTTTAGGTGATTAAACCAGACAATCCCTTTCCTTGTAGTTTATACTCACTTTGCTGTCGAGTTTATATTGAGAAACTTTCCTTCAGCCGTAAACAAAGTAGTTTGATTCAATCTGAAGACACATCACACACACATACATGCAATACAATCTTGAATCATCATTAACTTTAACGATGTCGGTTAGAACAATCAAGGCGGTATTATTATTAGTATTATTATTTTATTAGTATTATTATTTTAAATATACACAGATTTAAGACAGCTGTGGAAATTAGAATCAAAGTTTACAGGGACATGTTCTCATCTTCAAGGTAAGCGACAATTAAGTTATATGGTTATAAAAGTAGGGTAGACTGTTCAGAGTATCCTAGTTTTCCGTTAGACTGTCGCGATCGGCAAGTGCTTTTCGACTTTGTGCTACGAACGGCCATCTTTCCCTGGGGGGGAGAGAGGGTAAGGGAGATCGGCGAGAAACTCCTCCCAAACCGTCCCCTGCACGCTAGGTAGATTTGAGACTCATCTCCAGGCTTGACTCGGAACATATGAAACAAACATAGCCGCATGTAACGTAGTCTGCTACACAGCCGTTTTTAGTGTCGTCATGTACGCAAAGCGCTCGATCTCGACGATCTTACGGAAAAATAGGGGACTGTAACCTGCGAACACATACGTATTTCCGGTGGTCGCTTCTCTCCACCCGAAGAAAGAAGCGACGACCGGAAATACGTCTATGATCGCAGGCTAATGGGACTAGAACAGTCTAAAGGTCGTTCAACTTTTAAGGCAAAGACAAATCCTAATTGTTACTTTAGGAGCACGGCGTCTCTGCTTTTTATTCATTTACTATGACTGAATAATTACTGTATTTAAATAGAAGTCTTTACTAAATGGAAAATTAATTTGCATCGTTTAGTTGTTCTCATGTCTTGTTTGTTTTACGCATTTATGCATAGACTTTTAGCTGACTCTCATAAGTTTTGACTTGATTAAGTCGTTTGGCCGAGTCGTTTTTCATAATTTTATCACACGTTAAATTAATGATTCTATAAAAACATTCATCACAAAAAATGATATTACATTTGTAATGTTTCTTGGTTATTTTAATTGCGCGTGGGTGACTCAACTGTATCAGATAACAAAAAACCTGAACAGCCCAACTTAATATGACCTGCCAAATTATCAGATCTTCCGTTCAAATCTGCTTTGGTGCTCAATAAAACCCCTTGTAAACTATGTTTATTAGTTGAAAAAAGGGCCTCTCCAACAGTAGGAACTCAGCTTCTTCGCGGGTTGCGGGTCGCGGGTCACGGACAAATGGCGCGAATCCCGCGACCCGTGAAGATTCTGTACTTAAGCTAAATGACTGAGGCGTGATCAAACCATACTTTATACACTGGTTTGGCAACAATTTTGACTCCTCCGTGCACTGGCATTTTCTACCATCCCTAAAAAATAAAATAAAATAACACATAAATTATTGTAAATAACTACTTTGTGCGAAAGGGTACTAGGGCAAAAAACGCTTTACTTGAATGGTCACATCAGAAAATTTCATATCTAGCCGAATGGATAGATCTCCTCCTTCAAACGGTCTCTTTTTTTTTCGGCCAAAAACTATCTCGGCGAAAGAAAAAGACAAATCTACCAAAACTATCTTTTTTCTCTTCTTCTCCTTTCTTTCCCATCGCTCTTTCTTTTCCGGCCTTCGTTAGTGTGATTTTCGAGCTTCTTAGGCGCAAAAACCTGCCTTGTGACCCTTTTCCACTTAAATGACAAAACATTTCGCTAGGTCAAAAAATCGGCTTGATATACAGACGGAAAAGCTATAGCAAGTCAGGAATCTACGTCTATAATTCACTTGTCTTCGAAAGTGAAAAAACGTTCAAAACAAAGAGAAAAGAGCAACATTAAACTTGGCAACGAGCCACTTTACCACGAATTACGTTTGGAAAAAAGCGGTCTCATACAAACCTTGAACCAAAGATCTTCGGTACTGGGATCTACGACTCAAACGAAAGCGCTTCGAAAGGATTTAGTTCCAAAGTATCTTCTTTTGTAGTTACTTTGAAAGACTCTGAGTTCAACAGATTCTCTAGTAAGGGGTGGGTTGAAGCAAACGGAAAGAAGAGGAAAAAAGAACGGGGGGAGGAAGGCGAGCTTTTTCCTTCTCTCCATATTTCCCTCTGCTGGCATCGGTCGGATTTTATTTGACTTTATACAACAAAGAGGGCTTGTTCACAGTAAACTGCTGTTTTTTTACATTGCGCACTGATTGTGCACCTAGGCACTAACGTGTGGTCTAGCACGACACCACGAGCAACAAAAATCAACTCTTTAGCTGTAACTGACAGACTTACCATCCTTTGTTACAAATACACTGTCCACAGGTTAATGTTCCATTTCCACTACAATGTGGACTGGACTTCTCCTAAAACAAAATAAAACACATACGTCTTGAGAGATAAACAAAACAGGGAGAAAATCAGTCTGACTTTCGCCGACTATTTTCCGACCTCTAAACAATGACTTTTGTCCACTGACGAACCAGATTTCTATTGTGGAAATGAAATAATCAGAATGTCACTAGCGTGGGAGAAAGAAAAAATCTGAGTCCCCGACTGGATTCGAACCTATGACCCCCCAGACACCGGGCGGGCGCTCCGTCCTCTGAGTTACGGCGAACTCATGGAGAGCGAGGCCATATACTAGGTTCATATTTGACACGCGTCCTGCATACTGCTAGGATCAGCAATGTCGAGATCGTACTGTGTGACGATAGAATGAGAGATGGTGAATTTTAAGCTTGGCTATTTACAGCTTCCTTTGAATGCCATTGATTTACCTCCTTACATTTTTATCTAATCACGTTTTCAAGAGTAGTGCCAAAATAATTCCAGTACAGAATAATTTTCTGAACATATACATCTTCTAATACTTTTCTTCAGGAATCCTGGGGGATGCCTACACACACCATTCGGGAGGAAATCTTGTGCATAAACATAAAACTATAGAATTTGGCGTGGTGAGAGAAAGACCCGCTACAAAGTATATCTAAATTAGCCTGGGTGTTAACTAAGTGTTCCGTGTGTGTACCTATTTCATTGCGTGATGTTCACCGAGTTTGATTATGGAATTACAACCGGTTCACAATACCGCATGCAGTTGATAGTGAGAACGTTAAACCTGAATTAAGATCGAAAAAAGTAAAGCCATTCTATATCACGCTGACATTTCCAAACGATATTTCTCGGTTTGCCACTTAAAAATCGTGTTTAACTTTTTGCATGAATTAAAGCAAAGGAGAAGTGACGTCACTGGACGGCATTAACGGCCGGCAGATTCAGACGTTACTGAGCGAGTAATAACGACTCGAAGTAATCGGATGAAATTCAGGCTATATCGAAATCAGCTGAGCAGACTGTAAATAGCAGAAAAATTGCATCGTCTCAAATCACAGCCCATACTTTCTGAAGCTTCCCAGATGGAATGACGTGAACCATTTGACTTTCCAACGGGAATTTCCGGTTTTTCCAGTGAAAAACCGGAAATTGAATTTTTGTGAGGTTGCCGCGGTCAAGGCCTGGAAAGGTCAAGGAATTCACTTTCAAACCGTCAAAGAATACCAGGGATTTGTGTTATATTCTCAGGCTGCTAATGACCAGGGGTACATCTGTACTTACCATTTACAAGATGTAAAATTCAATAATTTTTAATGTGTGAGAAAGGTTTGAACTCAGCAGTCATTTCAAAAGTAGGTTGAGTTTGATCGTCCGGGCGAACGTAGTCCTGAATAGGACTGTTGTTGTTGACAGTGACTGACGTTTCAACAACCTGTGCGGTAGTCATCATTAGAGTCAAAGTGAGTTGTATCACGTGAGTAGATGGTAGGTTACTAACCTTATTGGTCAATTAAGTCGTGATGTTATCGGCTGTGAAGACTCGTACTGTTAACTGACAGAGGACCAATAACATCGCAACTTAATTGACCAATCAGGTCAATAACCAGAGTTTAATACCATCAACCGACGTAATACAACTCACTTCGTCTCTGAAGATGACTACCGCACAGGTTGTCGAAACATCAGTCACTGTCAACAACAACAGTCCTATTCAGGACTACGGCCTACCTTCACCGGGACGACCATACTCAACATACTTAATTTGTAATGTGTACATACTTTTTCCTCCTCTTTTTCGCACTGGCAGCTACAAACAAAATCCAGGTTTATATCCACATTGCCAAACGGCGTCACCAAAGAAAAGCTGTTTAAGAAAGAGAGCATTTCAATCAGAAGTTACACATCAACTAACACCTTCGCAGATTACACCGACCAGGGGCCCCTTCCTCGAAAGTCCCGATAATTAACAGGCCTAAAAAGCTATTTTACATTCAAGAGAGGGGTTTCAACAGTTTTGCAGACAACATTATATAACCATCAGTTATCAAAACAAAATGGACCCGCATTTCGGGTCTGAACAGTTACCGGTACTTTCGAGAGACCCCTCCCTAGAATAATCGCCCCCTTTTGGTGGAAAAAAAAAAGGAATAATCGCCCCCCGATACCTGTATTAATCATTTGCATTTTTTGCGATTCTCTATTTATTCATTGTACACACTTTTTGAAATGTTCTTATCCTAGTTTTATATACTTTAGTTTAGTTAGCTCATAATTATCTGTTTTATCTTTTTAGTTAGGGTAACATATAAAACCATCCTACTGTCCCTTTCATATCTTAGCCGGCTTCCCTTATCATCTACAATAATAATAAATCAAATTAGGTTTACTGAATGTTTTAAGACAATGAATACCTTTTCTCTTTGAGGTTACAGTCTTCCACAGTCACCGAAACCTCAAATGACACCTGAAATTAAATGACTGCTTAAATTCTTCTGTTCTTAAACCCACGAAATGCCAGCAAGTAAAAGAGGGAATGTGCCATTGATCTTTCTGTTTCGTCAACTCTTCAATTCAAGAAATACGTTATGCTTTGCTTATGTTAGTTCACTTGTTGCAACAATAATTCTTGAAGATTGTAGCTTTTGTTTTTAAAACTACTATTGAACTGAGTTTTCTATGTTACAACCAAACTATGTGAGAAGTAGACTAATAACGTGATTTAGATTTCGACCAAAAATAAAAATTGTAACTTATGCCCATTCTCCTCAAGCCCTTGAGTTAACGTCAAAGGTGATTAAGAGAACTAAAAATATATTTAAAAAACTCACTTCTTGTCCTATCTGAACACCCGTACAAGTCCTTGATCCTACTAGTTTTTCATTTCTTAGAACAAAAGACATCAATTAGGAACTAAATCAAACATACTAATGATGACAAAAAAAAATTTGCACAATTAAGGAACAAGCTAGGACATAGCCCAATAGGCTACTCCGAGTTACCCCAAGCCTCTGTTTCAAAGCGAGGCTAAGTCCGAGGCTTAAGTCCCGTCTGGTAGTCCGGGACAAGTTACTCTGTGAGCAAGCTCGATCTCCTTCGCGAGCCGCGCGAGAACGCGCGAGCGAGCGTTCGCGTCTCCTGTCGCGTGCCTCTCGCACATCTACTTTTCACGACAGCCCCCAAATGGAGAGCTTGCTCGAAAGCTAGGGACAAGCAGATTTTCTTCATGGGCACTGAGTAACTTTTACCGCTTACTTGCCCATTGGGCAAGGTTCCAGGCAAGTCATCCTCTAACAAAAGCAGTATACGTAACTAAGACGAGTAAGAAGTGGCCCGGAAAAGTAAAATATGAGAGTTGCTTGTCCAAAGCACAAGACAGAATTCAAGATGTTTTCGAGCCCTGGAGATGAAAATGGTTGTTTATTCTTATGCAAATAGGGCGATTTTTGTGTGACCTTGAAATGAACAAGCGCGAACAAAACAGAAAGAACAAACGAACGGAAATAGAGCGATTTGATTGGCTTGTCGAACGGAAACGAAAGCGCGTGGCTTTTGGTTGGTTACGCAAACGCTCGGTTGAAAAAACTTCACGCCCGAAGAACTTTCTAGAAATCAATCGATACTTCACTTTGACGTCATACTGCAACACCATTGGCCAATCGAACAATGCCCTCTCCATATTTGGGTTTTCTTTGGCGGGAAAGCTGATAATACAAATAACGAACACTTACCGAAACCATTTTTCAAGGTCATACAAAAATCGCTGTAAAACTCATTTTCACAAGGTTTTGCACTTAGCCTCGTTTTGAAAGAAAGCGTTTTTCGTACTCGGGAAATGGCCTATTTAAATACCTTTTGGCCCGAAAAGTGATTAGGGAGGCCCCAGAAAATAACAGCTACAGAATGAAACTGCTCGAGGTAAATATACTGCAGAAAAATTGTTTTCAGTTTTTTAACACCGTCCGGCACTCCCAGAGACGGGAAAGCGCGCGGAAAGGACTAAACACGACTTCCGGTGCTCAATTTGCCGCTCTGCCATTGGTCAAGCCAGTTATTTGATTTGCGCGTGCTGTCGTCAACTGACGTTCCCGTTCTGTTGCTAACTCACCCTAACAACGCTGGTTCTAACTTTTGAGTTTGTTGACCAAAACGTTTGGTGTGACCATTCAAATAAATCCTTTTTGGCAGTACTTTTGTTTTTCGGCATTTTACAAAATAAAATTAACAAATTTTGTTGAATTTTGACTTTGGTAACTTCTGGGATTGAAAGAGTCAAAAGAAGATATTTCTATTATTATTTTTTTAGATTTCCGACTTGGTCATTAACACGGGTAGAAGTAAGGTTCATTACGAAAACCAACGCTTTATAACGATAACGAGAAATAAAGTTTTAAGGACAGCACACTTACGGACAATATGCCGTGTAGTTAACTTTGACTCCTTCGGGTGCTGTGTCACGGATAGTTTGTGTTTGCGCAATTTTCTGTAAGGAAATTTTAAAACATTCTTATTTACTTCATAGCAGCGGAAGGCCTTTAAAAGAAATTAGTTACACGATCAAAGTATTGAGCGCTGGTTACAGTCGGCGTAAAACCCGTCTGGACACTTTGTCCTCACCGCTTTCCAAACTTTTCGAACACCATCTACTTCAAACTTTATTTTCCCCTATTCCCCCTTCGTGATGCAGTGCTAATGCTCAAGCTACCTGTAGAAGGCAACAAATACGCCAACTATCGTAAGGGAGGAGGGGAGCAACTATCGTGAGGGAGGGGGGAGTGTGCAGGATTGGAGGGAGGGTTCCAGATTGATTATTCTCCGAAATAAAGTCAGCATAGCAAGCGCTTTATGAACCAAGCGAGGCGAATGCGGCATTTTGCGTGAAGCACGAGACGAGGGGAGGATTCGCGCTAGTCTCGCGCTTCGCGCAAAATGTCACGTTCACCTTGCTTGGCTCTTAAAGCACCTGTTTTGCAGCTTACCGAAATATAACTATGGGAAATAACTATAGACCTTTACTACCGGTAACACTACCTATAAATGGGTTCTGAATTTTTAGGCTCTTATACGTGGGTTTTTACTTCAATGCGCAAATAAAAATATGCAACTTTTTATCGGCGATTACTAACTCAGGCTCAAGGACCACTGAGAATCAAGGGGCTTAAATTTCGCTGACTTAAAAAAAGAATCACGAAAACAAAGCAGATTAACACAAACTCACCTCATAAGCTTGTCTTATGAGCTGAACAATGTTAGAAGAATCTTCCTTTAACAAGGCTGCCACGGCTCCAGACTCATCGCCAAAAAAATGAACTAATTCCTAAATAAACAATTAATATGTAAATATTCCCAAGTAGGCTGAGTATGATCGTCCGGGTGAACGTAATAATGAAGTGACTCCTTGGTTCAAACCTTTCACAGTTATATATAAATATTGTTATTGTTCTTTGAAAATATTTCCCTATTTCTAATTGGAGTAAATTCCAGTTCTTATTCTTCATAACCAGATGGCGTGCAACTTTGGAAATCGTATTGATATCGACAGAAAAAAGGGATATACCGTTCGGTGCCCCCCACCCCTCCCCCATCCCCGAGCGGAAACTCCATGTGAGGTTCCACTCCAAAGGGGTGCTTTTTTCAGGCTTCATGTGTATAAAAGGGTAGGGATTTCGCGAGATAGTATACCAATAGACTCCTTGCAGTCCGCCTTTTCTCTTAAAATCCGTCTACTTCTTATCTCATCCAGCGCGACTGCAAACCACGACGTTATTATTACAATAAGGAATTGAGACACGCCCTCGTTTCTCGCGGCTCGCGGCTTTGCCGCTCGCGTGGTTAGGTTTCGCGTGCAGTAACTTTGCAAAGAAAAATAAGAGACTGCTCGCAGTCTAGTATACCAAAGGATAGGAAAATTTGCCATTTAGCTGTTTAAAAGGGTGTTTAACTAAAATATTTCAAACTGACACACCTTATGGCTACATCAGTTTAATTAAACGCTACTTACATTGACAAAAAGACTTACAGTTGGTAAGTATCTTAAAAGGGCACCATTTTTGAATTGTATGGGAAGCAAATGGGTAAGGGGTTGGACCTTGGACCGGAGCCTCCCCGTATAAAACTTTGTAGAGTAGGGACCTTAAGATCCGAGGACGGCGACGGCAGTGAAAACGTCGCTGAAAAAGTGAATTCGCGTTCTTTCAATCTTCATCGCGATTACTCCAAGTCACTAACTTCGTCAAATGTAGGTGAACCCTCCTAAAGTTGAATTCCTAAGAACCACAGGCATATCCAAGTTCAGAAAGAGAGAGGAAATCTCGTCGTCGCTTGTGTACTTCCGCTGTGCATCGTGAAAAAAAAAAAGCGTGATGCACGTGCAAAATTGTTGTTTTGCTAATAAAACCTATTGCTTTTGTGGCGTTCCAGTTGCCGTCGCCGTCGTCGGATCTCAAGGTCCCTAGTAGCTTCCCGGGGACAGTGGAAGTGTAGAGCTGGGGAAACAGAGGAGGTTTTTCCCACGTTATGCGAAGGCAAAATGACTGAACTATTGTCTCAAAAACAAAAACTAAACAAAATAAAAACAAACAAGAAAAAAAGCATTGAAGACACTATTTTTGAGTCTTCTACTAGGGACGGGACCGCCATTTGATGCTGTCATCCGAGACACGCAAAGGTCTAGCTGTTTGCAGAGCAAAGGCAGCACCTTCATTTCTCAGTTGTTTCAAGACCCTGAGTAGCCTGCGAGCAAGCTTTCCGGGGCGCTCTGGCGGCGGGCGACAAAAAGGAAGGGGAGCTTGTGGGCAGGCTAGACCCAGCGTATTGGCCCGGCCCCAGGAATCGAACCCGAGACCTCTTGCTCTGCAGTCAGGCGCTCTACCGACTGAGTTACTAAAGAGCTTTAGATTTGAGGACGCGAACGAGTACTAGGAGTTTCGAGATTTAACTTAAGGTTTTTGCACGTGTTCTTAAAAAAAAAGACACTCCGGGAAGGTTAGTACGGTTATTTATACTGAAGGAGGTTCAGCCCTCTCCCGATGGCAAAATGATAAAACTTTTTACATTTGATAACTTGTTCCCGCCACTACGACATTCTCGCTAAAATCCGTTGTAGAATGACGACAGCAAACACGTTTTTCCGCGGAAATGACGTTGGTTGACGCGTGCACTACTTAGCATTTAGGAAATCTCGTACTCGACTACTCGTAGTCTTCATCGCCCTCGAACCTAAAGCTCTCTTATGCATCCTGCCACGGTGACATAGCAAGATGACAACTGTTATATGAAAAATCCCTTGATATCCTGAAACTGCCGAGGAACAAGGGCGAGGAGGCAATAATGAAATTCACCTCAAATTGCTTGAAGACTTCTGACTTGTTTTGGTTGATAGCAAAGATTGGCGACACTTGTTCATCTATCAGAATTTTCTTGAGAAATCCAGGAGATGGATAGTCCTGTTTAGAAAACAAATTATATGATGTCTTTAGTAAATCCACTAGCAACTGTCACGTTACTGTTTAGTGATTTAATAGACGCCCTCTCTCAAATACACTCGTCTTGTCCAATACACGTTCCCCTATGCTTTTAAGGTTGTATTAGACGCTCTTCTTTAGTAAACACCCCTGTTTAAATGACGCCCTGTACGACAGTTGCTCCAAAATACTAGGAAATAATCTGTTTCTTGCTTGATTAAAAAATTTTTTTGCATTGCATCTTGTCCATTGTTAATTTCAAAGTGAGGATTCTGACGTCGACGTACCAAAAAGAACCGACTGCAAAGAGAGTTTGACTGCCTTACCATAATTGTTGATGCTGTATATCGCCCATTTGCTGTGTAACAGTGTCCATCATTTGGTTTTACCACTCCACCGAGCTGCACACAACAACAACAACAACAAAAATAAAGCAATTATTAATGAATGATAATGAATCAAAAATTATTGATACTGAATTAAAAATTCTTTATCGTAACCAAGAAGATTTTTTTTTCTCATAATCACAGCAGGATTAGCTCAGTCGGTAGAGCGCTTGACTGCAGGGCAGCACGTTGTGGGTTCGATTCCCGGGACCGGGCCAATAGGGTCTAAAAAAGGTACCGTCTTTGCCCTTTGTCTTTTACTAGTAGAGCGAGCGAAACGCGAGCGCGCGTGAACTCGCGTGGGATGATTTTCACGCGCGCTGGCGTTTCGCTCGCTCTGCTATCCCTGAGGACAAATGGGGGACTACTCGTAGTCTACCCTGCAAACGGCCAAACTACAATGTATAACAATAACTTTAAACTTTAACAATAACATACCAAACCGTCACCAGCAACATGATAACCAGCGTCCGTTATAACAATAACTAGTCTTCGAGCTGACTGCTTGTCGGTCCATCCTATTTCCTGCCAAAATCAAAACATGGAGTCAAAAATCAGAGGACTGACCAAATGCTACAGTAGAAACCCGCTAACTTGTACTCCGATGACTCAAACTCCCTGCTAAATTGAACTAAATCTCCAACACCTTGATTTAAATTTACCCTGACAACTTGAATTCTGGCTCTTGCAACACACCACAGATGCCATCCAATTCGCTATCCTTGTCGTGTACTCGGCAAATATACTTAAGCTTACACTACAGCAATTTCATGTTAATTAGTGCAAAGAACATATCAGATCATCAGAATAAGAATGCTTAATCACGTTACAGTCGCTGATGAGATAAGTTTAATTGGCACTGCACTCAGAAGTGCTGAAAAATTGGCAAACAATCAATTATTCACTTGGAAAATTGAATACTCAATTAACCTTGATAGTACTTAAACACCCCCTAACTCGAAAAGCTTTTCTTTCCCTTAAGAGTTTCGAGTTAACAGGTTTCAACAGTACTCTAAATAGGTCCTATTTTATTGCATAGGAAAGTTATAAAATATTGGGTCCATCAGTGGATATAAAATAAAATCATACGACGTACATGTAACCATTCAAATAAAGTCTCCAACATTCATCGTTCGTTTCAGACTGTGAACAAAATCCTTATGGTGTAACCATGTCACATGTCATCGCCAAAATAAAACAGGCAACTCCTACAGTTTGTTGCAAGTTTAATATTGTAAAATAATAATTATGCACCTTTGCTGGAAAGTTTTATTGCCGATACCGTATTTATTCGATTAAACGCCGCAGCGTTTATTAAATTTTCAACGTTTTCGATGCGGCGTTTATTCAAGGCCGGCGTTTGTTTCAAAATCACTTTTCTTAAATCACTGACAATAGTTACTGTAAATCGTTTTTAAATACTATGTACTTTAAAGGTTCCAGAATCTCTCTTATTTTACTGAGATAGAATCAAAATTGTCTGGATGGTGTGGATTACCAAGTTGTATCGACTTTTTCTCATTATCCTCGAAAATACGCCGCATTTTTTTGATCAGGAACGGCGTTTATTCGAGGGTGGCGATAATTGGTAATTTTGCTTCCATCACCGGCGTTTAATCGAAGGCGGCGTTTAAAGTGCTATAACCCATAGCCAATGTCTTTCTTTTTAAGAAGTAGAAACATATAACATGCAAAAACAAGCAGTAGAATGGGACTTGGGCTCAATCTCGATTTTTAACAAGCGATCAAGATCCCGGTTCACGAAGTAACAAACGCGCCTTATGGGAGACTGGGCCGAGTAGCCTGTGACGTCAACCCGTTATCTCGGCGATAACCGATTGGCTACAAGATACCGGGTTGACGTCACAAGCATTTAGTGCCCAGTCTCTCAATCACTCCTTTTTGAATAAATATGGCAGGAAATTAGCCTCAAATTGCCGATTTCGTCCTTCGATAGAAGTGTGTTGAAACGCAAAATAACTTTTATTTCTTCGCAAAAATTCTTTAAACTACATAAATGTTCGAAATTTAATATAACTGAATACGGGTGATAGGCACTTTAACCGAATAAATAATTATGGTTACCTACTTTGGGACACACTGCGATCTGCATAAGAGCATCCATTGTTCCCTCAGGGTTATCCACATTTCCTGAAATATTCACTCGCTCGACTGTTCTCTATAATATTAATAATCAGTATTATAACAATGTGAGTAAATCTAGTTGAAAGTGCTTCAAGCTAAATTGTTTTCGAAGTTACCATTTGGCAGTCTAAAATTGTATGTTGGTTGCCAGACATACTACAAGGTACATTACAATACCACTAATAGAAAGTAGGTCATAGGAGAAAAAAAGGACATTTTTCAAAATATGCTACCCATCAAACAGGAGTGTAGCGTCCATACACGCACATAAGCACGCATGTGCTGCTAAAATCTGGAAATTTTTTTTTTCTATTTTCCTAAAAACATTTTTTTTCATTTCATAGGGATGAGTGATAAATGTTTCGCATTATTTTGGTGTTTTTGCGTTAGTACTTCCTATATCTTTTTATTATAACATAACTAGAGAGATAAAATGAAACAACTGATGCATTCTTCTCCGTATTTATTGACTGAAAATGTAATGCCAAAAAGGCAGAAAATGGCATTTCTAAGACCGTAAATGTAAAACTTTGCTGGGGGAGTATGCCACTAGATCCCTCTTGTTTAGAGCGCCTTCTGCACTCCAACTTTTCTTTCCGTGCGTACACCTTCAAAATCTCACGCTATTGCCCCTACTGACTACTGATGGTTGCTATCAAGTCAGGCTCTAAGAAAACTTGAACGGAGCCCAGTGATCTGATTACCTCTGAAATCCACAGTGACCGAGGTCAGAAATAGGGCATCAGGCCCTACCAGGGACGCCTAGAACAAGGCCTTGCCTTTTTAATTACTTATCCACAGTCAACTGAATATTACACTACACAATTTGTACATGTACACTGTGTGAACATACTTACTTGAAAATCACGGAAGTCTTCAGTCAGACCTAGCTGGTTATGAAAACCAAATGCTGGCACAGAGACTAAACTGTAAGTCAAAATTTATAAAAAACAATATACCAGTGCATTTGTAACAAACAACATTTTTATTCATTCAAGGCAAATTTTCTTTCTTTTCATTGGTCGAGAGCCCACCACGTGACATGCAAATAATGGTCTGCTCATGCGCAATGCCGTTCAACTGTGTTTGGCTGAAAAAAGTATTCTCCACAAAACCACGCTTTTCTCCTTCTTGCGATCGCTCTTTTCTGTAAAAATGGCAGATTGCTTCGCTTCTTTCAGGACATTCATTAAATATCAAACTTGGTGATCGAATGATAAAACAATTATTGAACTATGGTTATCACAAAATATCGTGATTTGTCAATGTCCCCCAGATCACGATATTTTCCTCAACCTCGTCCAATAATATATATTGTTAAAAATTGAGTATTTATAGAGTTTGCTATTGAAATATATCATATTAATATTGCTGACGTGGTGGTATCAGCCCTCTTTAAGCCCGGGTAAGACTTATCTGTGGAACTGCAGACGGCGGAACCACGGAACCTACAGAAATGACTGTTTTTATTACAACTGCCTTTGGCTAACGTGATGAAATAAAATGTTACAATTAATAAAAGCACTAATAGACCGTTCACAGTTCCCTAGTGTTCTGTAAGATTGTCGACATCGCGCGAGAGCTCATTTTGTAAATGTACTGAGAGGGCGAGCCCGGGGGTTCCAGCACGGCTCCTGCCCTTTAAGTAGTTCAAGCTAAACTCGGTCAAGGTGGCCGCCTTTAGCGCTCGTTCTCGCCGCTCTTGCAAAAAAAAAAAAAGGAGACTGTGAACAGTATATAACACCATAACATTAATCGAGAGCTCTGGTTCCGAACGGGAAGTCCACGAATCGCGGACTTTCGACTTGTTAGTACGTGGGAAGGGAACGAGAGGAATATATTAAAACACAGTAGCGCAAAGTTGGGAGGATGAGAGAATGTTAATGTGGTAGTGAATCCTTCGATTATCCCCGTCACGTAAAATCCGGAGTACACGAGGTATCTCCTGGTTGAGGAGACCGAGATTATATCCAAGTCTGTGGGGTAGTTCGTTACAACGCAGATTGAAAGTCTTGTTGGAGGAGCACATACGTCGTTTTCCCAGGGCAACGCTGAATGAAAAATTAAAGCTCGCGTTTAGTACAGAGCTAGGGTGTAACGGCCGGTGACATGAAGAGCGTAAAAGGTACAGTTGTTCGTCTAGCTGTTAGAGTAGGTTTAGTATAAAGAACAGCTTCCATGATCGATACCATAATTGAGAGACACCTCGACGTTGAGAAAGGGGAAATATTTGAATAGATGGACGTAAATTTAATAGTGCAATTAAAGGTATTTAGGTAAGAGATGGACTAATAAGTTTATAGTGAGAATGAATTTGATGAGGTCGCAAAGAGTTTTAGTGTGTGTGCTGGATGTAGAGCGGTCATGGGTATTAAGGAAGTGACAGCAGGCGCCAATAACCTCATCCTTCTCTCATCCTACTGTGTTGAAATCTACGCCTCTCGTTGCCTTCCGACGACTACTAACAAGCTAGTCTGCTACACAGCCGTTTTTAGAGTCGTCACGCAACGCTCCGTTAGTGGGGAGGAGCGTTGCGTGACGACACTAAAAACGGCTGCGTAGCAGACTAGTAACAAGCCGGAAGTCACTGATTAGAGGGCTTTTCTCTTTCGGAACCAGACCTCTCGATCAGTGTTACTTAACAAATCGATAACAGCTTTCTATGGTCTGTACTCTGTACAATAGCTCTAGACCAATCAGCGGGCGAGAAATCGCTCGAAATAGCTCAGTTATTGTAAAAATTACTTGTAACATATTTCTTTATCACGTTAGCCAAAGGCAGTTGTAATAAAAACCGTCATTTTCTTAGGTTCCGCCGGTTCTGCCGTCTGCAGTTCCGCAGATTAGTCTTACCCCTCTTAGGCCCAAAGAAAAATCAGCATTAAATTCCTCGTTCTTTATCAGTGCTTCATAATAGAAGGTGGTCGTGTTCAGAATTGGGAAAATGACAACACAAGATGAATCTCTTTGAATGAATGAATGAATGAATGAATGAATGACATTATTTACCGAGGGTGACACATTAGATTACAGTTCAGAACTGGTAAACTTGTGGCCCTCCCTTGATAACAAGGGCAACAAATTAACAATCTTGTGCTCTTGATTAAAAAAAATAATAAAAAAAAAATAAAAAATAATAAAAAGCAAAGTTATTTAACTGTAAGTACTCGCTAATAAAGAGAGCACGGCAACTTGGACATGCCTACAGTTAAACCCTGCTTTACGGACCCCTCATTATCATTAGCAGTTTACACGTACTTTTTCCCTATAGGGGAATGAAAGCCCTTACATTTTTTCTTAATAGTCTCGTTTCGAATTTTTTGTGACCGCTGAATAAATGTGCCGAAGACTTATTTGTTCAGGGCTATTAAACCTCGACCTAAAGTAAAATATTTATATTCTAACGGTGAGAAGATGCCTGAATTTAAATTTAAAACAAGAGACACTGTTGTACACAGGTCTTCCTCTGACTGAAATTTGTGAATATAATTGCGGGCGACAAGAGGAGCGCGCAATCCTAATCTCCAGGTTGTTATTACGCATGCGTCACATGTATGTAGCCAGCATTCGTTTGGACTTCCATTAAGGATGAATGGAATGCAGAGAACGCAGTTTGATCACGCACGATGGACTTTCTATCACTCGTTATTTGATCACGCATGTTTTGACTAACTCTCACGTGAAACTTATGCAATGCACAGTGATTGAGCAAAAGCGTTTTTACCTTCGATCGTTGTCGCCCGCACTCCGTAACCTTTGGTTATTACTAGTAAGCTAGTCTTGTTATTTACTGTACGTCAAGGCTAACCCTGTTTAAATGAGTCTTCAGTGCTTCTGTTCAGCAGCAGCGACGAATTCGAAACTGGAATATTCATAGCGCTTAATTACGGACACCCTGCCCATACGGACACTTTAAAGGGGCTGTGTCACGGCAGTTCAGTGCATTTTGTTTAATTTTGCCAATTACTCGCCTTCAATCGCTATGGAACTTAAAGTAAGCAAAGAAATTACATGTAAATGACAAAATCAGAGATCCGAGACAAACAAATATGTCTCCTGATCATTATTTTTGAAGCTGCAAGCAGCAGGGATCAACTTTGAAAAACTGTTAGGCTGAACAGTTTTCAAAAACCCTAATTTCAATCCGTTCCAATCTTCTCCTGTTTTGCCCATCCGTGGCATCTGTTGTTTCTGTTATGTTATTTTAACCTTCCTTTAAAGTTTTAAGCGGTTACTTTTATGTTTCTGTTAATTGAACGCGCATTTTGTAATTTCCTGATTTGGCTGAATTTCGTGACACAGCTCCTTTAAATGGCCCCTCAGTGTCCATATTATGGACTATAAGATCCAACGACGCTGGCGGCAACGAGAACGTCAAAAAAACAATAGGTTTAATAAGCAAAACAACAATTTCGCACGTGCATCACACTTTTTTGTATATTTCTTTCCCATTTTTGCGCGACCACGTCGTGGAAATGCCTTATTTCGCGTTTTATGGAGGACGTAAACAAGAAACGACGAAATTTTATTTCATTTTCTGAGCTTGGATATGTTACTTGAAATTCAGCTTCAGGAGGGTTTGCCTACATTTGACAAAGTAAGTAGGTAGGAATAATCACTATAAAGACTGAAAGAACGCAAATTCACTTCTTAAGCGACGTTCTCGTTGTTGTCGCGTCGTTGGATCTCAAAGTCCCTAAAGCAACTGCTACGTAACGCTTATAGTGGCTGGGTCATGAAAAGAAAAGTATACACAACAAAATTGAGCTGATAAAACAGTACTTACCTTTGAGGTTGAGTGTCAATATATGGAGCTCTTGGCTTGTCCACAAATCCCCCAAAACCAAGACGAAAATTGGATGTGATGTTTTTCATTTCTTTTGCTGTCAAATAAAGTAAATAAAAGAAAAACAAACAACAACAACAACAACAAAATTAAGAACATACATTGTACCAGTATATATAGTATGACACCAGAGCATAATTTATCAAAACAATGTCTTTTACATGACTGTACGAAACAAATGTAGTTGGCAGAGCTTTGATCTTTTCCTTAATGACTTATTTAGGTTTATGTTTTAGCATGTGATTTGTGGAGGAATCACGAAGACATCCTGTGAGCAGTATAATTTCCTTTGAGCAGAGCCTAGTGTGTTTTGAAATAGATGTGTTACCAGATCTATATTGTTGAAGATGAACTACAGTCGTTAATTGTATTATGTTTTATATACAATGTACATGTACAATGTATGCAGCCAATCAACCTACTCTACACTGAACCTGTGAAAGAGCCACTAGTACTGTTACTGCCTGTGATACTGTTCCAGCATATGAGAATGAAATAATTATGCGCTGGTCGGAGCAAAAACCACCACAGATATTTACTGCCAGTATGCCTCTGAAGTTAACTCACTTCAATTGGAGGCATGCTGCAGCAAAAAATAGGATAGCTCATCTGGTGATTTCGAAATTCTACATGTATTCTCAGATCAAAGCAGTACCTTAGCCATTTAATATTAACCAGTGATCATACTGCAGGTATGTTGGTGGCAAATGAGAACTACTGTACACATAAAATGCAATTTATTGTTGCAAACCTATACTCTCTCCAAGGGCAGGAAACTTCTTAAGGTCCTCTACCATGGAACCTGATAAGTCCATCAAATAATACAAATCTACTGGATAATTTTCTGGCATCTTAACGACAACCTTAACTGTGGCTGGTTGACCTGTGGAACCATGAAATAAAGTGTAATATTCATCACAGTCAAGCAAATACATGTACAGACTATAAAACCTCTGCCAGTCAATAAAAGGCAAAAAAAGGAAACTGGTCAATTAATTCCAAGCAACCTGCACCTCACTCTTGGTCAATAACACATATAATGTAGCCTTTTATGCAGGAAAAAATTAAATTCAGAATAAAATTTTCTAACCTAGGTTCACTGATTTTATGTCCTAGCCGTAATCATTCATGAATAGTCAGGTCTAGAAGACAGGGGAAATTGAGAATTAATTTTGGTTTAAAAAGTTTAACTTGAATTTAATTTTGATCTGTAACATACACTAGTCTCCCTTCTGACGAGAAAAAAGAATGATGATCGCTCCATAATTATTATGTGGCAATTAATAATTATCACTCACCTGGTCTAAGTGACAGAGTAACATTCTGTGGTTTCACCTTCACATCTGAATCAAGTTGTCTATCCTAGAAGTGAACAACAAGATACAGTGCAGCTGACATCATACATCATAGTCAAATCTCATGGCACCCAAACGAGAGAGAATTTGCATATTCTGCAGGTACTACATGTAATGCAAAGGTACTAAGAAGTTAGTTGATCGTAAGCCTATGCTTGCCTACGCTTGTCTTGGTTCAATCTATTAATCATCTGCTAATCAACGAGAATCAGATTACATAGGGCAAAGCAAACAGCATGCAAAAGTTTGCAATGATTGCATCATTTCCACCTAGCTTATTATAATTTTGTTTTTCTTTCATATAGAAACCAACACAAATGAATGATTGATCAATGCAAATCAAATGTTTATAGGAGCATGGAAGATTTGTTTGTTTAAGCTACACTTCATACCTCAATGAGAGATGTTCATTGAGGCGTCAGACATTCTGCACATCCAATCTTGTTTATACATGTACATTCTTAGTTTTCCTGTTTTGTTTTTAGTATATGGCTTTTCAGTAGGTTTTAGCTTTTTATATTTTATGTTTTTATTACTAAGTTTTCAAATATTTATCAAGTTGTTTTTAAAGTAGAATAATATTAAAATATACCGTACTTATTCGATTAACCCCCCTGGGCGCTTACTACTTTTTTGGACTTTGAGAGTGGGCGCTTATTCGAGGTGGATGCTTATTCAAGGCTGGGAGCTTATTAAATTTTCAACATTTTCAGCAAGTGTAGTACGTTTATTTTGCAACAAAACAATAAATGGTAAAAACAAAACGCAAAGATTTAACAAAGCAAGGGTTCTGTAAAATACTCTGAAGAAAACTCTGTCTTCGGGGAAGTCTCTTATTAGAACTCATTCAATTTTGGGGGGTTGGGGGGGGGAAAGTGGGTGGGGTGGGGGTGGGTGCTTTATTGAGTTTGAGTGGGATCGGGAGGTGGGGTGGGGTGGGGTGGGTGCTTATTCGAGGCTAGGCCCTTATTAACTTTTTCTGCCTTTAGGATGGGCGCTTATTTGAGGTGGGCGCTATTTCACTTATTTGAATAAATGCGGTAGTTGTAATAATTATTACAGATTTTATTTATACATGTTCGTATTTTGAACGAGTTTTAGCTTAAATGATTGACTGATCGATTGATACATTCATGTTTTGCCAAAGACACAAAATGTTGGGTGTCGATGATGGGTAAGTTTAAACATCTTCCTAATAAAAAGTGCTGGCTCCATTGACTCCTTGGGAAATATGTTCTGTGAATGTTTATAAGTACAAAGTGATGCAGCCAAGGTTCTTAGCTAACTCCACTGTAGCCAAATGACTGACACTAACTGTGCTTTATAAATTTATGTCATCGACATTTCTTGCAATCGGACTAGGTAGAGAAATAGGTTTACTTTCTGAAATGAGAGTTCATTGTAGAACTGAGAACCTTTTCTTAAAATTGAAACATTTCAGTTTTAAAGAAGAAGATGCTTCAACTACTAACAGTTGTGAATGAAAACATTTTGTCCTGATGATGAGGACTTGCTTAAATGTTCAAGTCATGATATAGTTAGATAAATGTATGTTTACTTTTATACAGCTGCTCAGGTGCCCAAATCTAATTTTATTGTTTAAGATCCATTCACTTACAATAAAGTCTGACAAAACTAACAACAAAATAAGAACAGTAAGTAGACAATATGCTAGCTCATACAACATACATGTACTAATCAGACGCATCTAAAATGGACGCACACTGATCAGCCGCAGACGCGTATACGCAAATTGCTCACATGCATTTTGTGCACAAATTTTTGAATGCTTATTTCTGAGCTGCACTGTAGATTAATTTTATTTTTTGGAAGTAGAATATCAGAGAAATTAAGGTATACATGTAAACTACACTGTATGTTGTGTTGTGAAATTATTGAGAAATCAGACATACAGTAGGTGAATATGTGCTGTTTTCTGTCTCCTGAGACTTGATTCTCAATAACTACTTGGTTTGCACAGGAAACGAGAGTCGAGAAAAAATTATCCAGACTCACAACAGACTGTCAACTTAGTTTTGAACATTACTGTATTCTCACAAGAGTTTGCACATTAAGAAAGAGATTTGCAGCCCAAACTTATAAGGCTAACAAATAATTATCTTATTATAGTATACTTACAGAATTATTAACTTACTTCATTTGTAACCAATTTGGATTTAGGATTTGCTATATTCTTGCATCCATTTTTGGTGTGGTTGGCAAGTGTATCACATCTGTCTCTTGGTTGCTCTAACCAAACATACTCCTATGTAAACAAAACGCCGCCACAAAGGTCAAAAGCTGTTATTATTTTTGAACCAAAGGAAATTCCCTTTAAGCAAAGTACCAAGCTTTTTGAAAAAAATCCACTTTTCAGCATAAAACAACCAAATCTGTCTATTTCATGAAAAATCAGGTGAAAAAGTTGGTAAAAGGCCATTTTTAGGTTTTTTGATTAACCCATTCGCCCCTGAACCGCCCGTAACCGCCCATGCGGATCCAGGTCCTTTCTACCCTTTGTGACGTCATCAGTTTTAACGGTCAAGGACAACTTTCCTCGCTAACTTGTGCAGAGTGAAGAGATCTTTCAAACCATACCAGAATGAGCACAATTCAGTCAAGGACACCGGAGAAAGAAGCAAAAAACCACGTGACAAGGACCTGAAAATCTCCATGAAAATCTTGTTCCATTACCCATCTACCTTTCCTTTCACCTAATCCTAAGATCCTAAAAGCTTTCCTAAAAACTCTTCCCACCAAAATGAAGCCTACTAAATGCCCAGCAAGAGAAAAAAAAATGAGGCAAGAAAAGCGAAAAAAGAAGGGAGGAGAGCAAACCAAAAAGTAAAAGTCAAGACTGCTGTGTCACTTTTAAACCCAAAAACTATCTCGAAATTTTGCTTTCTGCGCATGCCTGAACTTCGCAAGCTGAAATTTTGCATCTGGATCAGAAGGCCGCAAAGTGTACGACCTGTAAACCGGTTTGTGGTAAGTTTTAGCTCTTTATAGCACGACAGTGACCAGAAAACCACTCGACTAGCTTCAAAACGCGTTTTTCGGCAAAATCTCCAGGAGCGAATGGGTTAAAGCCTTCCATGTTGTAAAACCCTTCAATAATTTCAACAATTTCATTGACAGTTAAAGAGCTCATTGCCAAAATACTTCAGTAGTTAATTACTGGCTCTAACTAAAAAAGAAAAGCAGCTTTCTTTTATCAGAAAACTAAATCATCTACAAAGGAAAAGGAACAACTGCTACAAACAAATTATAGGAATTAAAAAACTACCCCACATCAAGAATGAAATCCACAAACTAACTAAAAAAACAAAGAGTACTCACAGTATCTTCACACCAAGAACATGGAGGATCAATATTTTGTATACATTCACCACATGACGACTCTATTTGCCTGCAGTTAGGAATATTCTTAACCCCTACGAGTAAATTATAAAATAATGAAATGAAACACTACACAATTGTACATGTATACCCATGTACACCCTTGTTTCTTGGAATAAACTCCTAGGGAGTGGGGGGGGGGGATTGGTAAAAACGGTACTTTATTGAGGGGAGGCATGTATTATGTTTTTTCCCCTCCATATTTGTTACATAATCTGTTTTATCCTGATAAAGTCTAAATGAAAATTCACTTGAACAAATTGTATTTTATTGGCAGTTTATATTAGTAGTCTCAATATACATTATGAACAACAAGGCCCTCCTTAAACTTAATTATCAGAGATGCATCAAGGCGTTCTTGATAAGGGTGTCCAAACGTGTTACCTAGGCAACCATTGTCCAGCATTCCTCGCTGTTAATATGTATGTTCAAAAATTAACAATGAAAGCTGTGGGCAAATTTCATCATACCAGTGATAATTTTTTTTTTAATCTAACTACGTAAGAAAGTGTTTATTCAAGGGGTCGGTGCCAATTATGGGGAGGCCAGTACTGTAACGTTATTACAGCATTAGAGCTTATGACAGAAACTACTGTACAATAACGGATAGTGAAAAATGAAATCCTTGCCAAGATTTTGAGATCTTGCAGCAACGGTTAGAAAACCCAAGACAAAAAGAAAGGAACTCTATGAATTGTCACAAAACCTTCTAACCTTGGACACCCACACCTTACTGCATGATAGATCTTCAGATTTTCCAAAAGGGATTTTGCCTTTTTCCTTCTCAAAACTGAAAATTATCCATTCCTAAGAAGATTTCAGAGCCTCAAAATATATTTTTAGATAATTCTCCTTTATTGTTCGGAAATCCAAAAATAAAAATCATCAGCAAAATCCAGACTTTCCAATAAAATAATGGTTGTCACAAAAATAGAGTCTTCATAGATAAAATCACAGGAAACTTCAAAACAAGTAAATGTAAATAGCAAAATATAAAGACAGACTAACAAAATCATTTTTTAATAATTTACAATAATTTTCCAGATAATTATATATACTAAACAATTAAAAATTTGACAACTTAAAAATCAAAGTTAGCTTAATCTAACAACTACATTTAAATGAAATTGTCTATTTTCAACTGAAACCACAATGCTAAGCAAATATTGAACTTTTATTTATTTCTGGCAGTTGTTTACATTCAAAGAAAGAAGCAACATTTTAATTTTCATTAGTCAAAATGAAAAACAAAAACAACCACAAAAAAAAGAGAAAGGGGGTAAAAGAAAAAGGAAAAATACCTTTTTTCAATCAATAAATGCCACTGGTAAATTGCATTTCTCTGCCCCCAACAGCGAAATACAGAAAACTTTATCCTCGGGAAACGAGAAACGCTTTTCCTTTCCTGATATCATCTTGTTTTTCTTATTTTGACAAAAGAAGATGATCACCTGTCGACCGTGATTTTTTCATTATTTAAATATCTGTCACAAAAGATATTTTCTTTTGAACAAAAAGATGAATAATTTCCAATCGTGACAAAAAAAATAGACGGCTTGAAGGAAAGTGATTCTTTAAAATCAGTCCACGCTAGCGCTTTTCTTTGTTTAGTATTTATAAAACAAAACTTTTAGGGCTTTCTTTGACAGATTTGAAGGCCGATCGAAGCAAGGCTTTCCCTTTTTTTGTTATCGTAAACATTTAAGGGTAAACCACAGAAAATAAAGATATGAACATACCACAAACTTGAGAAAATAAGCCCAAAACCATAAGGTTAAAAAGAAGAGCGAATCTATGCATTATATTCCTGCAAAGAAAAAAAGTACACGTAAACAGACTAAAGAATTTTATACAAGAAGCTAGACAGGTTTAATGTGATATTCTCACCAGCCATCATTTAGCGCCATTAGGCGATTAAAATTAATTCAAAGAAAAAGCTTACGAGCTCGACAGCATTGTAGTAATTTTTTATGAGAACGCGGTCTAAATAAAACATTACAAGGACCACATACTCACAAAAGGAGCGTGTTGTTAAATGTGTTTGTTCACACTTTAAACCTGTTGTTCAAATTACGTGACAATGTACAAGAGCTACATGTAAATGTGGTTGAAGGTTAGCTGTCAGACAGAGAAAAAAAAATTGCCATGAAATAAACGAACAAACCCTAAACGCAAGGCTTCAATATTTTTAACTCCCGACCTGGAACTGAGCTTACATTCTCTTGAAACCGCCGAAAAATTTACTTTGCACTTCAAAAGATGCGAAGATCAAGCGTCACACTAGGAGAGCCATTTCAAAATTCGATCGCTCCGTTTCATAAAAAATGCAATACCTTTTTGGGGGGAACATAAATCCGCGAATCCAGAATAAAACTTCAAGGGAAAGATGGACCCGTAGCGCGTTGGAGGAGTCTTGAGAAACAGTGGACAACTCTTCGAAATGAATTGACTTTTGTGGTTCAATTTCATGATCAGATGAATAAATTACCTTTGAACCGGTTAATTACGGATCAAATACATAAGCAACAGCTGGTCGGCCAACAGAAACTCAGTCTGGTATTTCCTAACAGTTGTAATATTTCTTCATGCTCAAAGTCGAATTCAGAGTGAGCTGTCGTCGAAAAAAGTGGGGTTCATACAACTGACTCTCAAGATAGTGTTTCCACGGGTTTAGTTATGTCGTAGTCATTAAATGCACGGAACTAAAGTGGAATAACTCAAGCAACAGGATTAACTAAAATAAAGAAAGGAAATAAACAAGCCAAAGACAGACGCGCGACCGGAGCGATAACAAACCGCGCTGTCGCTCTGTTCTTGATAGCGACATTTTTCATTGAGTTCCTTAACAACATTCTAATTGCCAACAAAAGCCGAGAGTGTTATCAGATAAAAGACTCACCTGTGGATTCCCAGGGCGTCTTTTCTTTACAATCATACAAGCAGCTATATACACAGCATCAGTGAACGTTCAGCGTCAAGCGGTATGACTCTTTCATTCTCTTGAAGGTCTGGTCACGCTAGCACGAGCATTCCGCAACTAGCTCATTGCCCTTGCGGTCATCAAAGTATGTACTGATTAACTTCAAACTTCTCTTTACCTTTCAAAATTTAAATACCTTTGACTTAGTATGGAGTAAAAAAGATTAGATCAAGGTTTGGAATGTGATAATCACGTCCAACAAGCTGTAACGCCTCCTAATAAAGATACGTTTTGAAATTCTTCCAAAGATTTATTCAGAGATTTGCATGGGTACGTTAATGAGAATAAAGAAGCTCATCAACTATGCAGATAAGCCTCTTCCCACGCCCTGACATGACAAGCAGCCTGCGGAAGAGGCCATCAATATTTTGTCACAAACCGGAAGTAGTCTGTGAATCATCTTATACCAAAGTATATAGTAAAAAAAAAAATAGAAAATTAGATAAAAGAGACTAAAGATTTGAGAACTGCTATGTATAGATGTATATATTTTTTATTTCTCCATTTTTTGTACTAATTTATACACCCGTTGAAATGAATAAAAATATGATCAAAACTAGAACATACAAAAATACGAGTCAAAAGTTGAAGGGGGAAAACTGATCAAGGCGTGGGCTGAAGGTTCAAGGTTTGACGTTCTGAAAGGCATAAGGCACAACTTTTTCTTGGATAATAAATGCCCTTATTCTTTCTTCGACATTGTTGAAATCTCAAAATCATCGCGGGGTCACTGTCCTCTACCGTGTTTCTATAGGGTTCTATAAAAGACACAAAAAATGGTCTCTATTAAAAATTCACTTTTTCAAGGGGTCTTTCAAAACATGAATCGATGTTCTATTTGATGACTCTTTGGGCCTCGTGTTTGCAATGGCGTTGGGATTATTGTCACTAAAAATTGAATCGAGTCGCTTTTAACGGTACCAATCTGGGACAGAAAGACCTTTGCAACTGAACGAGGCAGGAAATTTCCGAACGCAGGCTACGCATCCCCCTTGGGCCGAAATTCCCCATCCTTGGTAAATCACTCATACATGAGGCTAGATAACCAGCGGCAGGTCCAGAGGGGTCGGAGGGTTCCGGACGCCCCTAAACTTTGTATCCGTCAGACCCGATGATTTTTGTAGTTAAAATACTGAGCTGACTGCTATGAAATTGAAATAACTCCCGAAACACTGACTGGTCCTGACCTCTGAAGCCGCGCTCTTCCAAAGTGCGCAAAAGCTGATAACGGCTGCCGGAAAGAATTCTTATGGAAGTCTTACGTAGTGCATTAACCATGGGCAGTCAGCAACATTTTTCTCTAAATAACTGTTCAAAAGAGCAAATTTTACCGAGAGATATCGAGTAAGACACAGTAATGCTCAAAAATTCTAGATAACCGTACCATTCGTCAAGATATTCGGACTTTTCAACTAACATCAGGAGCCCCTTTAATTGATGGGCTCCTTCTAACATACAGTAAGACTGTTTAGAAGAGTATGTTTATTTTTCTTTTTTTAATCTTTTTTGGCTTTGTTTTTGTTTCTGTTTTATCTTTATCCTTTTTTTGTTTGTTTGTTTCCTCGTGTTGATGGTAAGTACCCGTTGTACCCGATAGTCCCCCCACGCGCCCCTCCCCGGCCCCCAGACCAGGAAAACAGGAATACCACTTCAAAGTTACTTGAGCTGCGGAATGCTGGGTATTCTGTGTCAAATAGGACTAGGGAAACTGGGGAGAGTTAACTGAGAGCAGAAACACTTTCCGCAGATTTTGTAGTGTCGAAATCATTGAAATGCTGGTTTAAAACTTGCTTTTCGCTGATTTTGTTAGTAAGATATAGCTGTAAAACGCTATGGCTTTTAAAATTGATATCCATAATCATATTTTACCGGAAAGGTGGCCAGATCTAAAGGAGGTAAGAGCGAAGTAAGATGAACTACTGACCCCAATGTTGGCTTCATGCATGCCTTGTTTACGTGTGTCCGAACAAAAAGATTATTTTAAACGGTCAGTGGCCGTATTTGTACTAGAAGACGTCTTAGACGTTCAGACGCATTAAACGTCTGACTGTTAAGTGCGTCCCGTTTTTATACTAGACGTGTTAAACGTCTGAGACGACTAATTCATCTGTTAAGTGCGTCGATCGGACGTACTTTAAGTTAATAACTTAAGACGTTTTATTCGTCACACGTTTAATTTCCGTATTTATACTAGACGTCTCAGTCGTCTAAGACGTCTTAGACGTCCTCTAGTATAAATATGGCTAATTAACATCTAGTTTCTTACATCGTAAGTAATTGTCAACGAGCAAGCCGAGCGGAGACGGTCGGCTTGCGACGCGAAGTATTGCAGCCGGCAGAAAAATTATTGATCGTGCTGTAAAAAGTGTAATGTAAGTGTAATGTAAGGTGTAGATTCCCTGGATATTTTAGTAGCGGATTTCACGTGTAGTTTCACGTGACTTTTGATGACCTTTGTTGTAAACAAACCTACTGTACTTGTACGAACTACAACTCGCTATTTCAAGTTCGCGCCCCGGGAGGGGGGCACTTGGGTATTTTTTGCGTGGGTATGTGCCACCCGGGACTCCAAATTGGCACCCCGTTCTAAAAAAAACGTCCCCTAAAATTGATACCCCGTTCTAGAAATGGGCCAATTTTTTATACCCCATTCTAGAATTCGCCCTAAAACTGATACCCCATTCTAGAAAGTTTGTAAATTGACATGACATACCAGTAGCCCTGTTTTTTGCAAAGATATTTCTTTATTTGTTCAACTTATACATCAAATAAATGCTTCTTCATAATCAGCGACAATTTTAAGCAGAAGATAAAACCATGATCCATAATCTTTTATACCTCGTTATAGAAAACGCCTCTGAAATGGATACCCCGTTCTAAATCAGGAGCTTCAAAATCACGACCCCGTTGGGCGGCACATACCCGTACAGGTAAATGTATGGGAGTACCCCCCTCCCCCCCGGGGTTCGGGCTAACCTATAAATGTTATTTCCCTTTCGCTGTTTGAAACTCGACAAGTTTAAGGTTCAAAAATGTCTAATTTGCAGAAGAATAAGAGCGATTTTAAGGCCAAGAGCATGGCAGAAATGTAGGAACGAGGAGTGCTTGTAGTGGAAATTCTCGCCTCAGCAGCTGAAATGGTTTTATAAACATTGGAACTAAAATTGGTGATGTAGGCAAATTCTTTTTCTTTCGTTGGCACTTAGCGAAAGCTATGTACAACTAGTATTATATAGTCCTTTCTCTGTAATTGCACCTGCTAATTTTCTCTTCTACCAGCCGGTGTTCTATAATTTTATTATTTAGCAGTTGTATAACTTTTTGAAAAACTTTTTAAAAGAAAAAATAAATTTCTAGAAGTTGTTTTTAAGCTGGTTACAATATTGCAGTGAAAGGTACCCAAAATTCATTTCATAGAAAGAAGGTGGAATATGATCATCTGGGAGAGACCGATGACATGTTGGAGTCCTCTTAGTCGTAATGCATCAGTCAATTCCACCTGCCCATGCCCCCAACTAGAATCATCCATGTTCAGTTGTGTTTGGATAGAAAACCACATGCATGTCAAAAGCTTGGGGGTTGCTGCGGGGTTGGCAAATGCCCAACTCCCCGGGCCGCGCTAAAGTTGCTAATGCCCCACCCCTGGGACTGACAAGACGAGCAAAATACCCCCGCAGTGGCGCATTCACCCTGATAAGGGAGGGGGGATGGGCGTACATGTAACGGGAATTGACTGATGCATAACTGACAGACAGCCAATAAAATGGCGACTTAATAGACCAACCAGAGTTCAATGCCATCAATTGGCACAAAACAACTCACTTTGACTCTGAAGATGACTACTCCACTGCTTGTCGAAATGTTAGTCACTGTCGACAACAGTGCTCTTCAGGAATACACTCACCTTGATGATCATTTTTATTATTCCACCTCATTATTTACAATGCTATTTGCTTGTTTGTTGGTTGACACACTTAGTGCCCACAGCCATAAAATACTTGATGTACTCACACTTATTTCCCTGTAAAGCACAGAGAGAATTCCTGTCAATTTTGAGGGTTTTTTAATACATCCAGTCTATTCAGCAGTATGTCCTTCTTACCAGTGTTTTGTAGTGATGTTCATCACGACAGAGCAAGAGAAAATTTGCTTATCCACTTGTCCTTCGGACAAGCACTACATTAAATGTAGGTGTCCGAAACCCAAGTGTTCTCGTCCAAACAGTTTTGCTTGAAACTGGAAACTTAAAAAACAATTGGGCATTTAATGTTTTTAATCAACCACATTTTTAGCTTTGTAAATTGTTTTTGACGTAAAGCTTAATATAATATCAGGCACAATTTCAATTTTGAGCCTGGGAATTAGCTATGTCATAACAGGCCTGGTTACTGTGGCCAGGTTCCTATGGAGCTCATAAAAGCAAATGAAATGGCCGCAGAATGGCGAAGTTATAAGGAATACTTAACCTTATTTTGTCAAGTATGAGGCTTGCTTTTATGAGTATAAGATGTATTTTAGTTCTACTGTAATTTGATGTTTCTGTATTTTTTCTGATTAAAAATGTACAAAGTTTGTCTTACAGACAAGTAATGTCAAAGGTTTACATGTCTGAAGTAAATTTCTACCTGTCGCGGACAATCAGACATAGATTTTGGCTCACCCTGTCACAAAATAATGGAAATGATAGCAAAGCCAGAAAATTGTGCTTGACAGTTTCAGTTTACATGTAAATAATAATAGTGACAAGTGCCTTCATGTGCATATAATGCTAAAAGGAGTTTTTTTATTTGCAGCGATATGGTTATGGAGGTTGGATACAACTTCATCATCACTGTAAAGTAAGCATTTAAACTTAAAAGTTTAAAATAATGGCTTGGTGCACGCTACTGGTGTACACAAGTGTAGCACAGTGCCTATGCATGATTCACGCTCAAGAAAAGGCACGATTTTTGTGCCAGAGCATGGGAAAAAATAAACATACAAAGGCATGCAGTTTAGGCACTGTTAACGCATGTTTTAAATATTTTTAAGGCACATTTTAGATACAGTTTGAGCATATTTTAGGCACTGTCAAAGGACTGTTGGGCAAAAAGCATAAATCTAGCCACAATTACTGGGAGGAAATGACTCAGACATTTGCTGTTTTTAAACCATTTGCCTCATAAGTGGGTTTTTTGTAGATATTTTTACAATCTGGTTATCTTTCTTTGTATTTTAGGGCAAAGTTAAGATGATGAAAGATGGAAAGCTTTTTCGTGAAATAGATGAGAACTGCTGGTCTCCGGAAGCACGAATCAAAGACATGGACGCAACAGGTCTGTGTATCTTATGGTAAAATGTTATTCCTACTGGTTTAACTTTTACTTCCCTTTGTTTTATGCTCAAATATGTGAATACAATTCATAGAAACCAGGGATAACATTAATTTTGAGCCATAATGTGTGTTCATAATGTGAGTGTGGTAACATTATTTTTCATTGATGTTGCGAAAAGCTGGCTTTTAGCTACACTGTAATTTCACCGGCTGAAAAAGAGCTTAGCACCAGCTTGCAAAACAACGACATTTAGTAACTCTAAAGGTTCTGTTGAGTTAAAAAGCTGGCTTAACTAATAAAAAAGCTTGCTCAGCTTTTTCTTAGCTTCAACCGTGAATGTTATTACAATGCATCTGTTAAAATGCTATGGTGTGATTGTGCGCAATTAATTGTTTTCTAACACATGCATAAACATTTAGTGGTGACAGTAATGCTCAAAGACAGGTTAAGGGAACTTGTGTGCAAGTAAGTTAGCACCATTTCCATGTGTTTGTGCATTATTTTATCATTGGTCATTAGGCAATTTGACCATAATCCATTCTCACCTTTCAAAATTGTATCTAGTGACAGCTTGCAAAGTGGAGCACATGTATAATTATGTACATGCAACACATGTACACGGAGAAGAGTCCCCAACACTTCACAATTCGTCATTACCCAGGCACTTTGTGTTTGATTGTACCTCAGCATTAATGTGACTGCAGCCTTATTTAGATTGATTACTGACTAGGGAGTTTAAAATCTTTCCACTTTCAGGTGTTACTGTTCAAGTGGTCTCTACTGTTCCAGTGATGTTTAGCTACTGGGTATGCATGTGGAAAGAGCTTTGTTTTGAAATTTGCCACGCAATACATGTAGATCTATAGATAGATGGAATAATGGACATGATTCCTACAAGGAATCGATCGATCTATATCAAAAGCTTCATCTTTTTACGGCAACAGAGTTAAATTTGAGATAGGGAGTATAAATTATAGATATTGCTCGTGGTTTGTGGATGAAAACGAACTTAAAACTGAGAATTAACATAGCCAGCGAATTCGGCATGTTAGCGAACTCGAACAGATAGCTTTTCTATGTTTATACTTGTCAAAGGTTGCCCATCACGTTACCCGTCTTCCATATCCGTTTTGACAGAAAAATAATTCCAAGGGATGCCATAATACGGATGACCAAGCTGTTCAAATGGCCTGTTGTCTTTAACGAATGGGTGATGAAGTCGTCCGAACATTAATTTTGAATCCATTCTTGGCTATACTAGTCTTAACCTATGGAGGATCAAATTATGCTTTGCATTTCTTGTACATTCATGTTTTGATTGAAATAATTAGACATTGTTAATGTCCCTCTGATGTAATATATGGTGCAAGATTGATAAGGGCCTTAAAAAAATACCTTTACTCTGTAAGTACAGTATTCCATTCTTGAGCCTGGTTCTCATATGCCACCGATGCATCTGCGATATAGTCGCAGGTACTTCCTGGGATACTGCTCCAATATGAAAACAGAAGTGGCCAGCAACATTGGTCATCCTAGCCTTTACTGCCGGCATGCCTGCTTCGTTCACTCCAGTTCAACTTCGCAAGCATTCCAGCGGTAAAATACTGCTATGGCTCCATTTGCCAGTGGCGCATGTTTTCATTCGTGCTCGGAAGTAGCCCACGGCCAGGCGGTACTGGAGGCATATATACGTCAGCGGCATATGAGAACCAGGCTTTACAGTGTCTTAGTTTTTAGGGCTCTCACCAATGTTGATATTCAAGGCTGTAAAAGTCTCATAAATGCATCATTTTGTTTCATGTTATCAAGGCTAAGCCTGAAGATACACTGGATTTGTGCTGTATACTGAATGATGATCTTGCTAAAATTGTGAAGAAGTATCCTAAGAGATTTGTTGGACTTGGAACACTTCCGATGCAGGTTTGATTTGGAATTGAGTTACCAGTTGCCATGCGTTATCTAAATCATTACAGTCATTCATTGATTGACACCCACTCTGTAAAAGTGCTCCTCGCTTCCTTAAGTTGTTAATTTGTGTGCGCACGTGCATGTAAGAATCTGGTTTAAAAAGATCAAAAAGCTTGTTATGTTGTTCCAAATGCCCAAAGAAACAGGAAGTGATTTTTTTCTGTTTGTTTTATTATTATTATTATTTAAATTATTATTTTTAGTTTTAATAAAGTAATCCCATTAGCTTACTTTTAAATATATATATGTTGTAGTTATTTTTTTATTTCAATTAATTTTTGTTTTTCCATTGTTTTGGGGTATGGTAATGTATGCTAATGAATTTAAAACAAAGGAAAAACAAAAATTAACTGAAATTAAAAATTAACTGCAACATATACTTAAAACTTGTTTGAAGTCTGGACAACTTACATCATGCTGTATAATAATAATAATATTATAATAATAACAAAATAACAAAATAAAAATATATAATTATTATATATTAATTTTTTATTTTGTAAGCAGTCAATAGTGGGAAATATAATTAATTTTAATCTTGTTTTACAGGCACCAGAACTTGCAGTTCAAGAACTGACGAGATGTGTAAAGGTGATTGTTATTTAGAACTTATGAAGGCTGAGCCCTGAGGAAAATTTATAGGCAGCCCAGAAGCTATGATCATTGTTGAAATCCAGGCTGCCAGCACTGAGTTTGTGGGAAATCTAGAGGCTGCTGGGTTACCCAGATTGCTAGAGACTTTTCATGTGTGGCTGACATGCAGCTTTATCACTTGTTCGACCTTTAGCCAAAAATGTGTCAACCTGGCCAACACTTTAGCATCCTGCTGCATGCATTAGAAAAAATCCTCTGGCAGTGCACCCAGGGTAGGTTGGACTAGTCCAGCCTAAACGCAATCATTGTGAATCGAGACTGTTCTGCCAGATCGGTCTATTCCAAAGTAAACTGTACATTTGGGCAGGGCAGGGATTGTTTTTTTTTTTGAAAAAACGTTGAAACAAACCGACTTGTGTTTCACTATCAATATGACCACAATTCAGCTGGCCAGTTTTGGCATTTGGTAATTAATTGCCTTATATAGCAGAGGAAAGAAATGCAAGTTAAAGTGGTTTGGGCATGTGTCAAGATCATCAGGGCTTGCCAAGACAATTTTACAAGGAACAGTGCAAGGAGGGAGAAGAAGGGGCCGACCAAAGAAGCGTTGGGAGAATAATCTCTGAGTGGACAGGGTTGAAGTTTTGCAATGCCATAAGAGAAGCTGAAAACAAAATCAGATGGAGGGAGAGGTTTGCTATGTCCGTGGCATGTCAACGTTCAATGACTACAGGATAGGTGCAGGTGCAGGTGCAGATAGCATAATGCTCTGTCTCGACACCAGAAGTTAAAATTTAGTTAATTGCCAGGGGCAACTGGGTACTGCCAGAGTTCAGCTTTACTCAATGTATACTACAATGTTTTCTCTAGCATAGTTTTGATTTTCGAAGTATCAGGTTACTTTTGATAAATTTATTTTTGATATTAATAATATTAATTGTTGATTATTATTAATAATAATTATTATTGATAACAATTATTACATTTATGTTATTAATATTGTTTTAATTTCTCTAATAAAATTATGACAGGAACTTGGTTTCCCAGGTGTTGAAATTGGTAGCCATATTAACAACTGGAATCTTGATGCTCCAGAACTAGATCCTGTGTTTGCTGTAAGTAATTTTTATTATCAGTGCATTCTGTCTCATGAAAATGTTAGTAATGTCTGCATTTAGTGTCAGAGCTACCATATACCTTCATATACATCATACATGTATGGTCTTATTTCACTTGCTCATGTGTACTGCGTAGACTAGCACATGTAGGTCTAAACAAGGCCCAAGGAGATGACATGAGAGTCCATGGCAGTGTGCCACATCTGTATATCATTATGTAGCAGGTTAATTTCCTTTAATTTCATGTACATTGGCTCACACTTTCCTCAAAGAAAAGTGAGAATAATCTCGGTTTAAAAACTTTAACTTGAAATCAAATGTGACCTGTAACATAACCTGCACTCAGCCCACCTATTCTCCCCAACATCCTGAGTATGCTTCTACATTGCATTTTTCATCCAAAAATTGACCAATTTATTATATAAACAAAGATGTTGTCTATTACATGTAGGCTGCTGAGGAATTAGGCTGTGCTATCTTTGTTCACCCATGGGATATGGAGTTAGGAGGAAGAATGGCCAAGTACTGGTTGCCTTGGCTTGTTGGTAAGTAAATGTATTGTACCAGAAGCTTATAACCCTGAAGCATATAACTCTGTCGCAATGCTGGAGTGTTTTTAGGGAACCATTCAAAATTTACTTCCTAATGTACATCTTGAAGTGAATGGCTTGTGCAGTGGAAGATTTTGTCTGAATGAAACCCAATTTTATGGAATCTTCAACACAAGTTAAAACTTTGAAAGGTTTGAACCCAGGAGTTATTTCAAATCCTTTCTGATACCCGTAAAACGAGTCACTGATGGAGAGAAGGGGGTAAAATAAGCACACCGCCGGCATCAGTTTTGTCATTCTATTGAGCGCTATTACCGACGTAAAGGGCCGTTACCTTGACCTTTGACCTCTCCCCAGCCTTAAATTTTACGTATAATATTTGAAATGATGTATATTATGCATGTTAGTATCAGGGTTTCAGGGGTAAACTTGACCTTGTCGCTTTTGCAGGAATGCCTGCTGAAACTGCACAGGCGATCTGTTGCATGATCTTTGGTGGTGTTCTGGAACGATATCCAAGACTCAAAGTGTGTTTTGCTCATGGAGGTATAGATTAATTTTATCAAGTACACCAAAGTTTACATGAAGGTAAGGGAACCCAGACAGGTGAGGTAACATGTGGCGGGTCACCCCACCTATCATGTAAACATGATTAAATTAAAGTGAGAGATTATATGGACAGGCGGGTTACCTCACCTAAGCGGGTTATTTTGCCTACCTGGGGTCCCTCACCTCCTGCGGAGAATGCGAACGAGACACCTTTGTTTTTTTCGCGGCTAAGCCGCGAGAATGGCGACTTCGCGCGCCAAAACTTGCACGCACGCAAAAACAATAGACGTTTTAGCTTGTTTGTTTTGTTTTCCCATTTCAGACAACATAATTGTGCCCCAGAGAACTTTTTCTTTCAAATGTTGTCTTATGCACGTGAATCCACGTGCATATGTATGCATAATTACTGAAATTCTTTTTACTGAAATATTTCTTTTTTCCTTTCTTTTCTTTAAATTTGTGTCTCTCTTCCCCCGCCTATACGGGGGTGGACGCTATCGTGAAATTGTAAACTGAGATTGAATAAATAAAGTTGAAGTTGAATTCCTTGGAGAACATCACGTGGTCTGAATTACGAAAACAAAACATACAAGCTAAAAAGGTCTATTCCGCCAGCTACGCAGGCAAAACTCTAGTGGGACACTTAAAGAATATCTTCTATACAAAGTTAGTTTTTTTTCCCTTCAAATATATATATCAATTTTTTCTTTCTTTTTTTAATGTTTTCTTGCAGGAGGAGCATTTCCATTCACTATCGGTCGTATTGAACATGGCTTTAATGTCAGACCTGATCTCTGTGCTGTTGAGAATCCAATAAATCCAAGGTCAGTTCACTTGTAGTATACTCCTACATCTTAACTTTCCATCCTTCGTTAATCAGTGACTTATGGCCGGACTTGAACACTCGCCAAGTGATTGCAAGACATGGGAATAGTCAGGCATGATATTTATTCTTTGTTGTCTCCGTTCATGTTTTAGCTAATTTGTTGTCGTAGTGAATATAAAACCTTTATTGTAACTCGACCAATCACGCCTCCCTTTGGAGAATAAGGCGCAGAAAAGCTATACTACACTATAATGTACTACACTACACTAAACTACACTAATTCTGCTTAGGAACATCGAGAACATCATTCTTCACGTTTTGTTGCAAAATAAAATAACTATTTAATAATCGTCCAGCCTCGAAAAAGCGCCCACTTTCAAGGTCCAAAAATATAATAAGGGGCGCTTAATCAAGTAAATACGGTATGTCCTCAAATCCTTGTTTGTCTTGTTTCGACTTCTTTTCTGTCTTCACCATTCTTTCGTCACTATCTTTGACCATCTGTAAGGTGGATACCTCTTTTAAGAAGAACACCTCTCTACCATTCTTCAACCATTTTCTCTGACTCTTCACATGGTGGTTATCCTCCAAAAAGGACACCTAGAGTTGGTCCCTTTTGTTCCCCAGTTATTTTCTTTGACTGTCTATAAGGTGGCTATTTTTTTAAGAAGGACTCGTGGAGTTGTTCAGCCATTTTTAGTGGCTCTCTGTTACCGGTCGTTTCGATAGAAGTGGTTACTATACGAGTTTATTCAGTCAAGTTGTAATAAGTTTAACGTACTTGGCTTAGAGAACGAAGAACATTCACCCAATCTGTTTTTCTTGTTCGCGCGCAAACTATGCTTAAAGTGATCAAAATTGTTGTGCAGTTTCACTACTTGAGTTCGTTTCGAAACGACTTGTGTCGAAATGACTTTGTATCGAAACGACCGGTTACCCGCTCTTGAACGTAGACACCTATCTAAGACGGTGACTGGTCATTTCGCCTACGAGTCGTTTCGCTAACGTCTCTGTCGCAAACGTCTTCAGTCGTCTCGCTTAAGGAAGTAAACGAGCACTTCAAATGCATATACCTCGTTCTTTCAGCCATTACACGAAAAAGTGTGAAACACATGTACAGATTGTTCCTTTAGCCGCTGATCAGGCGAGAGCAGTTAGGAAACTGAACTAACACGTTTGCGAAACGACTTAAGACGTTGGCGAACACGACGTTTTCGAAACGACTCATGACGAACTTTTTAAGAGCCGAACCTAATACATTGAATAATATACATGAAAATTCGGCGTCATGAATCAATTAGGAACGCCTGTTTCAATTTGGAACGGCTAAGCCGTTCTTTTCTCCTACCCCGGCCGGGAATTTCGCCTTTGGTCGCGACTTTGGAACGGCTTTGATTCAGACGCATAAATTATTATAACGTATTTTGTAAGCAGTTTGTCCGAAATGAGCCTTTCTCGCCTTTTGAACTTAGTTCAGCTGAAATTAAGATCGGCGTCTGAATCAGATCAGCTGGTCTAAATAATTTGGGTCGACCTTAATTCGAGTTAGGTTCGGCTCATGAAAAGTTCGGCGTCTGAACCGGGCCTAAGACAACAGTGTCTGTGTGAGTTAACTGTATTGTAGCAGTCTTAAATTGATTTTGTTAGATGTATTCTTTGTAATCTCACAATACTTGCTAGACTCTAAACAGAACCTTGAATGTATCATTCGTTATAATATTGTATGTTTCAGAAAGTACATTGGTCAAATTTATACAGATAGTCTTGTCCATGATGAAAAAGCTCTTAAATTACTGGTTGACACTATTGGTCAGGTAAAGAGTTCAGTGACTTTTTGGTTATGATCTATTTAATACACTGTGAAATTTATGCAAGCAAAAATTAACAAGACGTGTACTTAGAATAGGTTATGTCACGCTATTTGCTATCGTTTGTCTTTCCATCAATTGAATTCTAAAAATGACGGGCTAGATTTGTTATTTCAGACCATATTTTATAGGCGTGGAAACCGTTTCCTGTCGTCTGTTTCTAAGAACGGCAAGGATGTTTGTGAATTAAAACTTAGTTTTGATGTAGCCTGCGTACCAAACCAAGCGTTTCCGTAGCAAGCGTTTCGTTTCCACCCCGACAGTGATTTTGTTTTTCTTTTGCGTAGGTTTTTACTAACAAGGTGAAGTTTTAGTAAGCCATGATGAGATTGTGACTTGTTGTGTTGATCAAGAACGAGCTGACGTGTACAAGTCTGAGTCCCCATTAAAGTTGTGTTTTCAACAATCTTCGTTTGTGTGCGAAGCGCACTTGTCCCCTGGACAGACATAACATTGAAAAAAAATAATAATAATAAACCTTCAAGCTCTTAATTTTCTCATTGCAGCAAGCGTGGGCTCATTATCCTGCATGTGTATTTTTATTAGTATTATTTTTTTGTAGGAGAATGTTATTTTAGGCAGTGACTACCCGTTTCCTCTCGGAGAACATCATCCAGGAAAACTCATCGAGGATGTGTACAAAGACGACCTGGAACTTAGAGTAAGAAAACAATCACATTCAGTTTCACGGTTTTTTTGGGGGGGGCCATTGAAGATATGTCCAGGATCGATCTTGTTAGCAAAAATTTGCTAGCAATTTTTCTTCGCAATTGTCGCAAAAGAAATGACTGAGAAAAAATTATGTGAGAAAATCACTTACAAATATCGCAAAATCGCAAAAATAACAAGTCTAACAAGAATCAAGACTTGGAAACAAAAGAAGCCAAGAAGAACCCCGAAATGTCCGCAAAAATCGCAAAAGTAACAAGGATATTTTTCGCTCGCTGAAAACGCTCGGCTTCTTTTCTTTCTAAGTCTGGAATTTTGTTAAATTTGTTATTTTTGCGATATTTGCGACATTTATCATGCGTGTTTTTAGCTAGCATGAAAAATCCTTGTTACTTTTGCGATTTTTGCGATATTCGCGGACATTTCGGGGCCCTTCTTGGCTTCTTCTCTTTCTAAGTCTTGATTCTTGTTAGATTTGTTATTTTTGCTATTTCTGCTACATTTGTTACTCAATCTTTTCACTTAGCAAGGAAAATTCCCGTTACTTTTGCGATTTTTGAGAAATTTGCAGACTTCACGAAGCCCTTCTTGGACTTTTCTCTTTGTAAAAGTAGGATTTTGAAAAATTTGTTATTCGTGCTATTTTTGCCATATTTGTTACTCAATCTTTTCACATAGCAAGAAAAATTCTTCTTACTTTTGCGACATTTGCTATTTCTTCTATACCTTTCTGATAGCAGTTTTCTTTATCTTTTTTGCTAAAATTGTGAAAACAATTTGCTAGCAAATTTTTGCTAACAAGATCGATCCTGGACATAAGTGTGGTAACGTGACGTCACACTTCTCCTCTCTATAAACATTGGTATCGCTTGATTACAATGGAACCTCGATGACGTTCGCTAAAACGTTGTTTTGTTATATCGAGGTTCTTTTCCATACATTATACTGTAACTGGGGCAGAAAATGGTTTCGTTATATCGAGGTTCCACTGTACCAAAGAGAAATAAAAATAGGCCTCACCCCTCTCCCCAGGTTTTGACTTTTGTCCCAATTCCCCCCCTCCCCCGCCAATTCTCTTTTGAAGAGGTTTAGTCCTACCCTACTTTAGTAGATTGTTCTACATGTACTTGGCAATTCAACAGTTGATCAACAAATATTAGTGAAGATCGAACAAAATGGTTCTCAATTAATTCCCTGTTTTTTTTTGGAAAATAGGTGGAGTAATTGCTAGGGGGGTGTATTTGCCCATCATCAAATCTCCCGTTCATCATTCGATTCACAGTCCCCTAACTTTCCGTAAGGTCGTCGGGCGTTTACGGGCGGCAATCTTGGATAGGTAAAGCCCCACGCCCGCTCCCTCGGTTCATGTTTACTAGATAACCGTCCGTTCCGGCAAGCTATCGCTCTATCCTGTCGATCTTACGAAGAAATAGGGGACTGTAAATAGTCTAACTTCAGATGAAAACCTTTTAATTCAAAATCCATCTGTTGTTGTAGGATAAATTGTTAGGCGGAAATGCTCTAAGATTTCTTGGATTGAAAAGGTCACAGTTTGACGAAGACCCTGTGGATAAAGCGGATACAGTAGAAAGCTAATAGTGCAGCGGACTGAATAATTAAATGTTTTTCTGTTAGTTATAGAATGAAGTAACTTTTAAAAGTAAACAGACTATTATGTCTATAAATGCATTTAGACGGAGGTTATTTATAATGTCCTCTGTTTTTCGGCATCTTGGTGTCTTCCTTTTTTAAAAGAGCCTTACCGAAGGAAACAAGTCTAAACTGTGTTAATTATTGAAACAAGTTCTTATTTATTCGTAACTATTCTTGTACTTTATTTTAATGACTATGATATACTTGTGAATACGTTATTTAAAGCGGTTAAGGATGGGTTTACAGTAAAAGTACAGTTAAAAAATACTGATTTATATTCAAGTGCAGAACGCAGTTGATGTTAAGCGCATTGTTACTCGATTAGCCCTCTTTCAGTGAAGGTCAGTCTCGATCCTCAAACGGGAGTCATAAAGCCATTAACTACAGTGGAACCCTGTTAATGTTACCACCGTTGGGCCATAAAATCCTAGTCGTAAAAATGAGGTGGTCGCATTAACGGGTGATTTTCGAAAAAAATAAAAATTAAAATAAGCCTGATTTCTATGTTTGAATCGAGAGAATATGGTCGTAATAACGAGGTGGTCGTATGGCGGGGCTCCACTATGTTGCTATTAAAATTAATAAACAGGCGAGCCTGTACCCTAAAATAATTCATGCCAGACCGTACGAAGTGGGTTTGAGTTTTGTAAAAAGAGAAACTAAAACTCGTCTTTGGGCGTTCGCATTGCACAACTTAGTTGAGTAGAAAATAGTAATAAAATGTATAAAAATGTTTCTATCCATTTTCATTGTTTGTTTTGCTATTTAAAAGCTGGTTTACACACAGCGATTGTATGCCCGATTTATCTCCAAAGAAAATATATGGTGATGCAACAGATTATTTTAATCTATCCGGTTTTCAGCCAGTTTTAATCTTTTCGTTTTTCTTTCGAAAAATCATAGCGTGACAACCCTCAGTTACAAGAGCAAGGGCGCTTTCCATTTAGTCAAAATTTCCGGAATTTCCGGTTCGGCGGTAAATGGAACACGTTTCGTCGGTTCGTCTCATTGGAAAATTCCCAGAAAAAGTGGAAAATCTAAAAAGGTGGGCCCGTTTTCCCGGTTGGAATTTTCGAACGGAATGTCGTGTTCCATTTACGTTTCTCGTAGTTTGTACCAGTTCCAGGTCCACGGTCGGGAACCGCGACGTACTGGGGTTTACGACCAAATGGAACAACTTTTTACCAATCGGAAATTCCACTTTTCTCCCACCGAAATTTCCGGGTTTTTTTCCTAAATGGAAAGCACTCCAAGTTTAATAAGGAAAACTTCCTCCGCCGTTGCTACGTAAGCCCCATTATGTTACGTACTACTTGACTCACAATTTTGTCATCGCACGGGAAGCAAGCTGCCTCTAACATAAATGTCTCGCAGTTGTTTTGCAGCAAGCATGGGTTGCAAAAAGGAAGGTCACGTTCCACATTATGTAACGACGTCTGCTACAGCAAAAATAAGAACAAAGACGTTGCGCTCTGTTTTTGACTGACGCTAGATCATAATGGCCGGAGGGGGGGAGTGGGGGAGGCTCCGCCCCGAGGTCCAACCCGTCCAACCCCTTAACCCTTTTACGTACCATTTTTGACAGACAAGATACCCTTTCTTATACTTTGCATTGACAAATAGTGCTTCTTTGAACATACCTCGTTGAGAACTTTACATCCTTTTTTTTTTACTGTTATAAAAGCACTCTTTTAAATATGAAACAGGAAAATCACGAAACCAGAACGTTTTCTCGAGTTTTTAACATCTGTAAGCCCTGTCTACGTCTTGATGTAAGCTTTTTTTTATGAAAGTAGTGTTCTTTTAGCTGTAGTAGCCAAGAATTTAGGAACTGAGTAAAAAGACGGGAACGATCGATTCAGCGTGAGATGAAAGGAATGAAGTCTCTGCAAAGACGAGTTACCGGAAACCCTGAAAATAATATTGTTTACTATACATGTAGAATCCTTCCATTGAAATATCACTCAGCTCTGTAACCGCTCTATGCAGTGTACAGTGCATACGAATGCACTTGTTACACGCATTTAGCGCGTCAGTGAAGAACAGTTTACTCTTTTTCCTCTGGATCTTAAAATCTGAACCAATGCCGTGAAACACCGTTAACTGCCGCTTATTCGCCACTGTTAAAAACGCGTCCTCTCAAATGTCCCACAATGCACTTGATCGACAAATTAAACATCTCGATCCAGTCTCCCACGCAACCCCAAAGTGGCGAATACGCGCCTTCACTTATAAGCCCTCTTCCTCACTTATGGGCCCATATCACAGCTGTAAACCAAACAAAAACAAACAAACAAACAAACAAACAAAAAATTGTCCGAATATAAGCCTCTCCGAAAATAACACGCTGCCCTCTTCCTTTAACTGGATTTAATTCGATTTTAGACTGTTCACAGTCCTCTATTTTTCCGTAAGATCATCGAGATCGAGCGCTTTCTGTTACGGGCTGCCAACTTGCATAAGTGTTAAAACTACTTAGGGGGCGGGGGCGGATAGGAGGAAGCGAGAAAAATAGAGGGACTGTAATATAAACATCACTGCAGCTCGCGTTCAGGAGGCGTGACAGGAATTTCACGCCTTTTACCATTCAGTAATTAAGAAACTCCGCTGGTGATGAAAAACATGCCAGACACATTTAGCATCGATTACGCGTGTTTACAAATATCTCTTTTCCAAACCATGATTTTATAATGTTTCTTTGCCATTCCTCGAAATAAAATCCGCAAACATGCACAAGAAAACATTTTCCTAATCAAAATGCCAAAAATCCTTCGTGTGTTAGCGCAAGATGTGCCTTATGGTATGAAAGCGTACGTTTTATTGAAAAGTCGACTTGTCAACGACTCGTCAATTTAGGCAACTTAAACTAACCCCGTTGTCAACGCAAATTAACATCTATTGTCTAATGACCAATCAAATGCCTGCGTTGCTGGTACAACGCGCTCTGTGAACAGGAGCTGTGGTGATGTTATTACAGTCCCTCTATTTTTCTCGCCCCGCCACCTCCCCCCCCCACCTCCCAAATCTATAATCCCCGACGCCAGCCCCCTCGGTACATTTGAAAATCAAGATACCCGTGACGGTAAGACGTGGTATATCTAAACGATCTCACGAAAAAATAGGGGACTGCGAACAGTCTAATTCGATTTATAATGACGTTTTGAAGCCTTTTGAACGAGCGGTAAATGCAAAAATGTATTTTTATCAGCAATACTACAGCTTATTTCAAAGCTCTTTTTCTTTGCCATCAATAAGCCCCCTTGGATATTAAAGCCCCTCCGTTTATACACCTTCCTAAAACCCCTTAAGAAGGTGCATAATACCACGGCCTATAAGCGACAGCTAAGAATGAGGTAGGTTTAACAGGACTGGCAATAACTTGAATCTGTGGGTTCATGACCGTAAAAAAATTGTGCTAGGTTTTTGTTCGTTCTTGTTGTATTTTATTTTATTATTTTTTTTTGTGCAAACAATCATCTCAATGAGGTCACAGCAGTAGAGGAAGGAGATACTTTTTTCTGTACTTCTAAAACATGTCTAGTTGCGTTCTTGTTACTCGAACGCAACCCCTAATTTGTGTTGGGTGGTCTATGCATTATTGGGTGTCCTGTGCCATTAATAAGGGAGGCTTTTTCGAGATTGCATATTCGTCGTCGACACACATTTGCCTCGCTTTGAGGCGCTTGCTTACATTTTGCCTCACTTGGACGCGCAAACTTATTTGGTGATTCGTTTGTCCTTGGCGTTCATCTTTCAAACGTTCAATGCTGAGGTCTGCTATTCCGTTTTCGTAAATCGTTCATCTTTTAAACTTGTGTGCTGAATTTTCGTAAAGCGTACATATTTCAACCTCGTCCCCAGGGCTTTTCCCTTAAAAAAATGGGTGGGGCGGGAAAAGGCCCTGGCATCGGCTGGTCACGTGCACAGCCTAAATATTCCCGAGAAGCTAATTTATATGCAACCCGCTGGTTTTGCGCTGACAGAAGTCGAACGGAGCAACAATGGAAAATATTCGCGTCTGTGCGATTCAAAAGCTTAAGATCCATTTAATTTCGTATTATTCAAATGCTACAAGTTTATGAAAGGGCGTACCGGCTCTACGTTGTCACGTACAAAATATGTCAAATGCTTCAGAGTTGTGACAAGCTGTTATCGAGTAGTACTTCGACTGAAATTCATCGTGACTGTGGAATTACTGTACGATCAAGCAGAAAGTGATTTTTTCCAATGTCAAACAAAAATGCGGGCCTTTGCCTCTAGGATCCGCAGTGAAGTTAAACAAATTGAACTTAATTGAAATAGAATTGTTCATCAAAATGCTTTATGGAGTCTGGTCTTCTCTACAACCCGACCATGAAACAAACAAATCTCCGCGCCGGATGCAAGGAACGATGACAGGTCGCCGATCTGAAACATTTGAAGATCTCTTATATCTTTTCTCTTCCGAGGATAAGTACAAAGGATTTTCCTTATATCAAAGGGAAGATTGACCGATCGATTGGAATCAACTACAGCTCTGTCAATTTTAAATGGACCCAAGTCTTTCTTTGTTACCAGTCGTTTGATACCTTGGGTGCCAGTAACTTTTCAGGCGCGGTCTCCGGTTTCGGTCAAGTCTCGCAGAGGTCAATGAATTCTTTAAAAATACTGGTCATACCACAGGGAGCAGAGGAGTTCAGTTTGAATTAGATAATAAAGAATCTCTTACCTCTTTGATGGCTGTAATCTGTTAATTCTCCGTATGTGATCATTCTGAAGCCGTTTAACCGTTAAACAATTCCCTTCGATCTTCCCTTTCGCTCAACGTTTCTTTCCGACCGCCATTATTTTGAAACATAACAACCGCTGAATGAAGCGCTCGTGGGCTTTTTCGTTTGCCTTCGGCGGAGCGTCTTCGGAAAGCGAAGCTTTCCGAGCGAGGCACGAAGTGCCCACGTTAATGAATCTTGAGAGCCCACGAGCGCTTCATTCAGCGGTTGTTATGTTTCAAAATAATGGCGGTCGGAAAGAAACGTTGAGCGAAAGGGAAGATCGAAGGGAATTGTTTAACGGTTAAACGGCTTCAGAATGATCACATACGGAGAATTAACAGATTACAGCCATCAAAGAGGTAAGAGATTCTTTATTATCTAATTCAAACTGAACTCTTCTGCTCCCTGTGGTCATACTGGATAAGTCTAAACCAACGCGTGTCGCTATGATATGGCTGAGAGTCAAGGTGAATAAGACTAGGTTGTGTACGGTGGTCCACTTCGCAAGAAATAAATAAAATATCAAAAGAGTCGCGAAAACGGACTTTTCCATGCCAGTACAAACTTTATGCATGTACGTTACGGATAGCTTGTTTGTCATTTATATCGCTCTATAAAGGAAGTTTTATAAATGTTACCGCTCGCTGTCTCCTTCATAGAAATCGGAGGAAAGCAAAAAATTACTTATACCATAGTCAGTATCTGTGACAAAAAAGAAATCTTGTAGAACTTTTCGTTACTCGTCAAGAGATATAAAAGGCCGCTCAAGATCGCACGCTGTGAGGTTACGCATAATTTTAGCGTTTCACATAGCGCTAATTTATTACACCCAGGATTTTAGGGTGTACGAGGGGACACGTGACCAGCCGATGCCAGGGCCTTTTCCTGCCCCACCCATTTTTTAAGGGAAAAGCCCTGGGGACGAGGTTGCTGAAGTTCCACTATCGATCTGTGT